TTTTTTTCTTGTGTCATATTTTGAAATTTTAAAATTTTTAGAAAATCATTAGGACAGTCAGCAGTCTTGATAGACTGAATTAATATAAAATATAGGATTCAAAAGCCTTGTACCTTCTCGGTTGGTCTTCTCTGCACCTAATGTCTGACTTCTACAACTACTTATGTCAGTTTAGTGCTATGGATAAGGAGATGGACAAATATCTTTTTTAATCATTCCAATTTATAAATTCTCAAACAATTATTATGTGACGTTGGCTGAATTACTTAATTTCTCTATGCCTGTTTTTTCCTTTGTAGAGATAACAATAATGATTACCTCATAGGATTATTGCTAAGATTATATGAGATAGTGCATGTAAAGTTCTTATTAGTATTATGCCTGACAAACTGAAAGTTTTCAATAAATGTACATTTTTCTAAAACCAAACTATTAATGAACAAATTAAATTATATTTTTCTAGACTAACTAAACTATTATATTTGCCAAGTTCTTTGCAGGTATTTAGATGTTCTAGTTTTAATCACATATTTATTATTCAGTTTTAATACTTACATATTGCCTCATCTCAACATCTTATAGAATTTAGAATTTAAAAAAAAAATAAAGAAAAACAAAGTGAAAATGGCCCCCCAAATGAGATTGTAGTATATTTTGAAAAATCTATATTTATCTATCTATGTATAAGCTAACAAAAACAAAGACTGATCAATTAAAAGAGATGTAGGAGAGAAATCTTGATTATATTCTTCTCTTATGATAAAAATCACTACTCTAGGTAAATTGCAAGGATTTTCAACTTTGGTGCTCTTCTTGACTAGCTAGGGAGTGGCAGATTGTGCTTCAGTAGTTTTGAAGTAGGATTTAGGGCTTTATCAAATAACTGTTAATGCTCCAAAGAGGATTCTAATCATCCCAATGATTGAGAACAATGCAAATATAAAAAACTCACTAGATTTAAAGTCAGGAAACTAGCTAGGGAGTGGCAGGTTGTGCTTCAGTAGTTTTGAAGTAGGATTTAGGGGTTTATCAAATAACTGTTAATGCTCCAAAGAGGATTCTAATCATCCCAATGATTGAGAACAATGCAAATATAAAGTCAGGAGGCTTGAATTTCCTATCTGGCCGTTTTTCTCTCTTTGGGTCTCAGGTTCCTCATCTGTAAAAAGTAGGATCTTAAATGGATTAGTGGCTTTCGACTCAAGCTGCAAAATAGAATTGTAGCGAGCTTTAACAAGGAATGATTCCTGGGGGCCTCACCATCTGCCCAGGTTCTGATTTAATTGGTTTACCTTGGGGCTCTTCAGGTGACTCTAATGTAAACCAAGCTGGAGAAATACTATGTCAGATGATCTTTAATTTCCTGGCTTGCTCTAAAATCAGTTGTTTCTAATAACAGAGTTAATTTTGTTGCATTCAACAGTTTAATTAAAAAATTTTCCAATTGTCTGAATTGGATTTTTAAATTTTAATTATTTGACTCTCAGTAGGGGTATTTAATTCAAAATGTAAAAGTGAGTTTCTCCTTTTATAAAACTAATTAGTAAAACAAACAAATCTAAGCAAACAAAATGCTTTAAAAAATAATCTTGTAAGCAGAAGATCAAAATTATATGTGTAGATGAGGGATAATAAACTTCCAAGTTAATTAAACCTAGAATTTTAAGAAAGTATGAAAGGAAAACTGCACACCCATGCAGAAAAAACAAGGATATTTTTATATGGAATCAGTCTCAGGAAAGTTAAGAGAAAAAAAGACAAGCATTATAACAAAAGTATAACTAATGAAGAAATGATGCAGGTGACTTGGGAGACAAGCCAGGTGAAAGGAATGAAGCTGTGAAGAAAGGCCCTGCCCTGAAAAAAGGAATCTCAACTTCTTCACTGGAGTTAGAGGGTACAGCAATTGCCTTTCTTTGTTCTACCTAATGTAAAAGCAAATTGGTTTCATAATTTATTTGGGTCTTCATGCCTTATGAAGGCTCCCATGTCACAAAAAAACTTGTGTTAAATAAAGTTGTATGCTTTTCTTCTGTTGATTTTTCTTATGTCAATTTAATTCCAAAAAGAACCCTAGGAGGTTTAGTAGAGGTAATGGTTTCCCTTCCCTACAAGTCAAGGAACATGAGTGCCTTCTAGAAGCCCTCTGCTGATAGCTAGCAAGAAAATGACAATCACAAGGGACTGAATTTGGCCAACAACTTAAATGATGAACAAGGAAATGGATTCTCCCTCAGAGCCTCCAAAAGAATGCAGCTTGCTACTACCTGGATTTTAGCTCTAAGAGATCTATGTTAGATTGCTGACATGCAGAACTGTAACATAATAAATGTGTATTGTTTTAAGCCACTAAATTTGTGGTAGTTTGTTAGAGGGGCAATAGAAAACTAATACAGGAAGAGATGTTTATCTTTATTTCATTTAAACCAAATATATCCAATGCTGAATCCTTATTCTATTGGGCTGGCAGGGTCTTCAATCCCAAACACTATTAAAGCCTTTTCTCTACCAGTGACATGAAAGTTCCCAAAGATCTTACCATGTGCCAGGTTAACCTAAAAATAAAAGGCCGAAGTGAGAGGCAGCAAGAGTTTGAGATCCAAAATAGGTTTTAGGGAAGCACTGATTTAGACAAATAGTATACCAATAAGGAGAGTAGTTAGGAGAAAGGAAAGGGGAACAATTACATGAATAGAAGAAATTTATATAGGTACAGATAAAATAACACAATGATGCTAATTCAAAAGACAGTCTTTAGTTTTCAGTCTGGCTTTCAGAATGTCTTTTTTCTTGTTATTTTTGCAAACATTTGTTCAAGATACAAGCTATTTTAGGTCCAGTCCAAGGATTATTTTGCCCAGTTTTAACATTCCAAATGTTTGAGGAGTAAGGCACACAAGGCAGTTCCTCTGGGAACCTCTGGATGGCACCTCCAACTCCATTTAAAAGTGACTCTGTTTATATTGTTTCACAGCAAAAACATCAGGGAGGCCCCTTGGACTTTCTGTCATCATTTGCTACCAATAAGATACCATTGTCTCTGCCATCCTGGTCCCTTGTATTCTGGTAGTAACAGCAGGATCTTCACAAGTCTGGGAAACTTGGCGTCTAAGGCATGAGGGTCGGGTTTCAGTTGTCCTTTGTCCCCTTGGCAGTTAGGAGAATCTTCCCTCTAGCAGTTTTCATATTTACTCCAAAGGCACTTATTCATCTGCAGACAGCCCCCCTTCCCCCCAACACACACAAGGTGTGATATTCTAAACAGTTTTTACCGCTCAAATTCCCCTGAGGCTAAGAATCATAATGGTCTGGTTACCTATCAGGAGTTGAGAAAAACAAAACAAATTAACATCTCAATAGATTGTCTTGTAATATTCCTGCACTGGTAAATAGTTGTATTTCTTAAAGGAACTTCTGTTCCCCTTCATGATGTCACAGCATTTCGCAAAGATTGGGGCACTGATGGTCTTCATTCTGCTACCAGAGTCCATCCCAGGCTGATAATCTCACATGAAATAGCAGCTGGCTGGGTAGGGGATACATTTTCTCACGCTTTCAGAGTCAGGGTTCATAGACCTGGACAGTGAATGAATTTCTTGCTTTCCAGAGGGGGAAATAGCTCTTTTTTTCTCCCAACTCAGGCTGTATCCCTCCTGCTATTGTAGCTGCCAGCCCCTGATAGACACACGGACCACCAGAAATCAATGAGTTACAGGAAACACACTCTTTATTCAGCCAGCTGGGTCTGCCAGGGGTACACAGACCTCAAATTAAGCAGCCCCGAAATGTAGAGGTACAAAGTTTTTAAGCCCTAAACCCCTATTCTTCATCCTGTTTGAACACACAAGTCTATTTTTCTTCTTTTTACTGTCAACCCATAGGTCAGTTGTGCAAGCGGGGGTACAGAAGCAGAAAGCTTATTGTTAGAGCGTTCTGTTCCCATGGGCGATAGCGAAGCAGTAATTTTTCAGCCAGCACACTGCATGGGAATTTTCTTTGATTCTGGTCAACCTCTGGGAGAATGGGAGGAGCAGGGATGGAGCAGGGAGCCCCTTATGTGCTTATGGCAAAATCCTAGGCAAGAGATCATAGAGGCTTGACCCAGGGCAGAAGTAGTAGGAGAGATAAATGGTTGGATTTTGAAAGGTAAAGCCCATGATCTGAAATGAGATGTTAAAGAGAAAGTCAAATATAAGTAGGCTCGTCGGGACTCATCTGCCTTCACATACCTCATAGTTGGGAGTCCGGAAGAACCTTAAATAACTTAAAGAAAAATTTCATATATTGAAACTAGAGACAAGAGTTTAAAGGTTATCATATGAGAATTTAATTTTGGTAGTTATAGAGTTGGTTCTCTACACTAAATCTACAGCCAGTATTTCTTTTGATTCACTTTCCTATCTACAGTCTCTGGGTTTTGATTATCTCTCAACTCCAACAGGCATAAGTGCCAGTTCTTCCTCCTATCCTACATCCATCACCAGGTGGATGCCTCAGCCTTTTCCTATCCCTCCCTTAGAGTACTCCCAAAGAAATGATGGGTGCTATTTGCAGGAAAAAAAAATGAAAGATAGTTGAAAACAAGAGCCCTGTATTCTATTCACAAACTAGATTTTAAGATAACCAAAAACCTAATAGTGAAATAAACACTTTAAGTATCGCCCTACTACTGTTAGTGGTAAATCTATTGGTAGAAGTAACAAAGTATTAACAAATGAAAAACTGCCACGGTAAGGTGGAAAATCCAGCATTCTATCTTATTTTCATTTTTAAATACATGAAACTAAAGAAGGTTCTTTCCACTTTGCTACTTCAGGTGTTTTCAGAGGGGGTTCCTTTACTTGTCCCAGTGATGCAAACCTAATCTCACCGGCTCCCCAGGACGACCCACACTTTCCTATCAGGTTCTAGGTGAAAGTACGTCCATTGACCAATGGGCTCGTTTCTTCTTTGCCGAGGGGCGGGACCTCGCGCATAAACTTCGAAGACCCGCCCCCGTACGTGGTGTGCGTGCGTGGGGCCGCGCGGCGCGAGCCGTTTCCTCCAGTGTGTGGCGCCCCCCGGCGGCAGCGGGGCCTCAATGTGACAGCCAAGTTGAGCGCCTGCCATGGAGCCACCGAAAGAGGCGCGAACACTCAGCGACCCCGTGGCGCGGCCGCTTGGGGCCGCGAGTTCTCAGACGCCTAACGAGGAGGAGCGGCGGGAGGGAGGCGCAGCGCCGCCGGCGGCAGTCTTGGGCGAAGAGGCGGACGGCGCCGGTGCGGACGGGCTATGGGAGCTGCC